AGATATATTTGAAACTAGCAACCCCGCTACATTTTGAATGGCCCATCCAAATGTACACTTTCTAGTGGCAATGCATTTTATGGGAGATAAGCCTTGGATAAATACGCTTCTCTTGAGTGCACATTTGGAATACAGCTAATTTCATCACCACCACCTCCCTCAACCACCAGTCGCCTACCCCATAATCACCACCACTATTTTACAAGGCCCAATACTTGGCACCATCTTTATCTGTTTATATCTACATCCGTTTCTAACAGATTACACAGACACAGGTCTATCCTAGATGAGACGAGGTTTTTTGGTAATAGATGCATAAATCAAGGGAGCCAGAGAAAAACAGATGGAGACTTTCTATAGCAAACAAAATCCAAACTCATGCAAACATGATCTACTTTGTCTATAAATAAACACTTTCTCTGGATATATGTAAGAATTCTTGTTTATATATATCTGTCTTCACAGATGCTAAAGAGTGGACACATGACAAATTTGAATAGTTTTAATTTTTCTTTTAACATATCCCCTGTATATAGGCTAACTTCTTTTAGATAACTTTAACATTTCTTAAACCTCAAGCACAGAAACTACTTGCCTGGACTGTACACGCACACATACACCCACACACACACACTCTTCTCAAACTTTGAAAAAGCTGAACTTAAATTTAAGAAACTTGTTGCTCTAACACAATGCATGCTCACAAAGAACGCCAAATTTAAACCACATTGATTAGTTTTTCTTCAAGGAATACTGTAGGACAACGTTTTGAAGGTTTTTCTGGAAGCTTGGGGCTTATAGTCTGTGATGGAGGAATGACATATGAACTACACAATCGTTTTGGTGCTGGTTATTCTAATAGCATTTCTCTTTCCTGACTAATTCAAATCTTCTGATATATTAGTCACAGACAACTGACAGTTACAGACCATTACTGGTTGGAGCCATAAAGACGACAGTGGTTTGTTTCTAGCCCAGACAGCATGCAGTGTGAAGGGGCAAAGGCAGTCTGTACACTGCACCTGCACACTGCAACCCCGCGCCCTAGGTGCTGGATTTGAATTTGCAACACGCCGCAGGTAGCCATTTCTGTCTATGTAGGAAGGCCGCCCCGCTAGTGTTACCGTAAAGCAGTGGTTCTTGCGCCACATCAGGGTCCCCTGGAGGGCCTGCTGAGATACAAGCTGCCCCACCCCAGAGTTTCTGGGTCGGGCGGGGTCCAGAGAGCTGGGAATGGGCATTCCTAGTAAGTTCCCAGGGGACACTGCTGTGTCCCTGGGGGACACATTTTGAGAACTACTGCCTAAAGTATAAAGCAAATGTGCCTATTTAAAGGATGCTGAATCTGTTCTTCAAAACCGTGGATATTGTCCAGGGAAATACTATTATTTTCTGCTTAGGACCAAGGAATGCATTTTTATTAAAAATCCGAGTTCAGAGTTACAGGCCCCATTGATTCTGGACCCTGGTGATAATGTTTGAGGTGATAACATTAACAGATTTTCCTGGCCTAAGTTCTTTGGTTCCATAGATTCTATTTCTCTACTGAAAACTATTTTAGATAAAGAACAGATTTGTGCTGATTACTTCAAGGAGCTCTTCTGTAAGTCCTTAGGAGAGTAAGTAGTACACATGTCACTGAAATGAGAAGCAAATATTGAAGCCAAATTTAAGATTTGGGAGGTAGTTCTTACAGAAGAAAAAAGACTTCAATAAACCTCTGTTCCTAGGTGTACCCAGTAGTTTATGGTATCCATGACTGCCCATGCAGGCTAATTCTGGGGTTCTTTTCATCAGAGGGAAAAAACACCTGAAGTGTATGATGTTCTTTTATAGACGGTGTGAAAGCAGGCTAACCAGGATCAATATCAACTGGGAGAGGAATTCTGAAAATTGACATTCAGCTCACAGAGAGGAAAGGCCACCGCCGTTGGCCCTGCTGTGCAGGGCGTCCTGGCTTGTCCACGGGGAGGCCGCATCCTGAATCCTGATGCCCTGCCTTCAACATAGTATGGCCCTGATTTCTATCTGTCACTCCTCCATGGAGACGCCCAGTGAAGCAAAACCACGCAAATCAAACTGCTTCTCCCGTAGCTGCTTGTTCAGAGCAGCAGCACAGGGCCTTGTGTTCTAGAAGAGTGTAACCTCTGCAGGGTCTGTACAGACAAGCGCCATTTCAAAGATGGCAGAGTGTAGGGGAAAATAACATGTTTAGTTTTTTGAATTTCATATTGACAAGCTTCTGCTGTTAAAAAAAATCGGGTGTGTTGATACAGAAATAAAAGAAAATGCTGAGTAGGTGATGTCTCGTTATTTTACTTATTCTCTTCTGTCAAGAATACCTCACCTCATTTGATCCTCACAATAACCTCGGACTGTATGATCAGCACCACTTCACATCTGAGGAACCTTAAGAAAAGTTAAATTATTTGACCAAAGTTGTAATTAGTAAGTGGCAAATTCCAACCCAACTCCCGACCCAAAAGCCAGTGCTTTTTCTACCTTACCCTGGCTACCCATTTCTAATTTTTTTGTTCTGGATCAAGATAGATTATATTCATTTATATATGGATATGTATTTCACGAATGTAGCATTTAGTATGGGAAAATATATATCTGGATCTCTAAGCCTTTTCTAAGAACTTTAAGAAGTGTAGTTTAAATGTCTTGCATATTCATCTTACCGACTGCTGAAATTGTTCACCTTTTAATAACAAAATAAACTTGATAATACAACTCCATGGGGTAATCATATCTTATTATGGAAATGGCTTATTGCTAGGAATAAGGCATGTTGAGGCTTTCTCCATAAGAGACATTAACTTAAAACTTTTTAATTGGAAAATACAGTAATTTGGGGGGGGGCAGGATACCCAAACTTCTTGCTCAGGGGAAGATGCCTCCCACATTCCATAGAAATCCTGACCATTCCATGAAGAGGAGGAGGAGGGGGGAGTCCATCCTTCCCCTGCACAATGCCACCAGCCCTACAGGTGAGCAGTAACATAAACTAGCCAACCAGACTTCTGCCAGAGCTACAGGAAAGTGTTTCTTTTTTTGAGGTGAGTGCCAGCTGAAAGGATGATGTGGGTCTGAGGCCATCAACTGCAATATTGTTACCAAATGTAGAATTTTCCTGGAAATGACACCCAGCAAGGCTATGAGGTAGACAGAATAAGCATTATTATTTGAACCTCCAGACCAAACCACACTTTCTTGAGCTTTCCAAATTCAAGCTAAAAATAATTTCCTTATTTTGCTTAAGCTAGTTTTATTTGGGTTTCTGTCACTTACCACTTAAACAGCACTAATGCAAAACTTTCAGATATTTTATTTCTTTGGACTTCTTAAATTGAGACTATTGGATGCAGTCTACTACCTGTGTAATCTATCACTTATATAGTATAATCTATTAGCTTTAACTATAAAACGGGAGGAACAAGTAACTACTTTAGAAAAAACTTGGTGAGGATTAAATGAGTTAAAGTACATAAATAAAAACACCAACTCCCAGACCTAGCATTCACCGAACATCAGTTCTCTCCCCCTTTTCTCCATTACCTTTCAAAACACCAACAACAATTATCTGCACATTTAAAACTGTTCTAAGTGTTTTTCATGTATTAACCCATTTAATGTACTCAACCACCCCGAGGCAGGCACTGTCATTAGCCCCATCTTATAGCTGCAGGAGGCGGGGGTGCCCAGACAGATTTTGTAACTTATCCAAGGACACACACAGACATTGTGGGAGAGCTGGGATACAAATTGTCAGATTATGCAATCAAGTCCTGTGTTTTCTGGATTTCACTTTCTTTTTGCTGCAAGGCTGTTAACTCTCACCTCTCCTTATGTCACTGAATCTGTCTTCAGAAAATCTTTACAAAGTTTAGCTTTTCTACTCTCCTGTGGATTCGGAAACAAGCTCATCAACCTTACTGCACAGTTAATGCTGAATAAAGTAAGGAAAGTCTTAAGAGGCAAAATACATTTAGTACAGATGCTTTATGATAATTAATTTGGAGCTTTAGAAGCTTCTCTTGCTAGTGCAAGAGTATAGTGTCAGTGTTGTTATATACACATACCTATGCTCTATTTTTTCAATTATTGCCTAAAAGAAACCCGTAATTAGCTATGATAGTAACAGCTGATGTTTACTGAAGGCTTATAATGTACCAGGCACCATCTACTTCTCATAACCACCTTAAGTAATCTTACAAGAGACCAGCACCAGCTGAGGAACCCCAGGACTCCCAGGGAGTGGGCTCGGGTGCAGGGATGTGACCGGTGCAGCCTGGCTCCATGCTCGGCAGCCACTTTGTGAGTGCATGGCCACTGGGGGGTCTTACTCTCCTGGCACCTAATACAGAGCAGGGCACCCAAGAAGCACTCAAACAGTTAATGAAGGAATACATGCTCTTCACTAAAAGGAGAGCACTTTCAAAGGATATAAAAGGGGACTTCAACGTGAAAGAGGCATTCATTGTGTAGAAAGGAAAGAGCTTTAAAGGCAGATCCTTTCTTAACAATTTATGGTACATTCCTTAATCCTAAAAGACCCATACTGTCACTGTAATACAAATGTCTCTTCCCTTTTTCATCTGGCAGATCTGCATGCTCTGCCCAACTGACACCCACCCAGGGACACCAGAGGTTTAGTATGCCTGCATATGAGACGAAGAGGAGGGTTAGAAACACAGTCAGCCAGGAAACAAGTTTAGGTTATGATTCAATTTAATCCTCTCTACCCCCACCTTTTTTATATTTTAAGCAATATATACTATTATGATAGCTATTAAGGGTGAAAGGATTAATTAAAACTCTAATTATGTGATAAGACTAGCATACTGTCTAACCTGATTTAGGGCAAATTCATCTACTTCAAATAAAAATACCAGACAGAAAAAAAAGGTGAATAATGAATAAAAATTAACCGTACAGGTACTGTTTTTATATATTTCCTAAGTGACCTAAGGTATCATTCAAACAAAGAGTCATAGTGCATTTTTAATTTTTATTAGTAAGAGTTGGGTACAAATAGCAAATTTAACTTGATATTTAGAAAAAAATGATTCACTCACTAAGGTCTTCATAAAGAAAAATCCATTCTGTACATTTTAATCTCCAATTTTAATTCTTAACACCATAATGCTTCTAAGTCTGAAACTTCACTTTAGGTTTAATTTTAATAATTCTGTCTTGTTGCCTCTGGTTAAAGAGATTAGAAACATCAGGTAGAAAAAAAGCATGAGACTAATTAAAATCACCTGAATATAAAACTTAACTAGAAAGTTTTTAAAAATCTTTAAAACCACCTAAAAATGAGAATACTTTTGGCAGAAAAATTAGCAGCTATGAACAAAATTAACATTACATAATATTTTATCAAGAACCGCATTACAATAATATTGTGGTTTACATATATTAGAATGATTTGCAACATACTAAATGCCTATTTATATCAAATAAAAATCTCTTTATTAAACTTTTTTTTTAATATAGTTTAGCTCTTTTGGGAGATTCAGTTCCCAATAAATGACAAGAACACAATTTAGAAGATGATAGGTGGTACATCTTTTAATTAGAGACCTAACCAGGTAAGTCTGGTCAAATGGTTGTGAAATTATATCCAATAATAAGCATCTATAAAAACTCAAGACAAAAGACTAATTCTGCTCCCCTCATCAGGATGTGTGCTCGGTGTCAGAAATCACACTATGAGCAAATACATAATAAATTCTTGAAACAACAGCTCGTTTTAAAATAAGTGCCAATCTACATTTTTTTTATTCTTCCCCTGACACAATTTCTACTACTCTTCATTTTAAGTGTTTTCTCCTTGGTTGGTGGTATATTACTGCTTCTTAAAGACCAATCATACACAGCATATTCCAAGCTCATTAATTCCTTCACAGGTGAGCTGAAGGGAGCTACAAACAGCAAAAAAACAATGGATTTCAACAGCAAACCATCCACCCTACTCAGGCAAGGCAAAGCCCCATCTCCAAAACACTTCCAACCAAGGTTGCTCTAAAATTAGTCCTGTAAGTCCAACAGTATTACACTCTCATTTTCTCTTTGGTTTGACAGTAAGTTCATATCTTAAAAGGATATATTAAAATTTCCAAGTTACACTACTCTGGAAACATAATTGAGTTGAAAATCCTCTATTGGGACGAAATTTCTTCTATGCTGTGTATTTGGTATGAAATCTCACACCCAGTCACTGAGTTACAAAGAATGTAGGAGAACAAGGAGAGGAATTACTGACTGCACTGTCTCCAGGCCTCTGGGAGCCAGGACAGGGGAACTGCCCATGCCAACAGACAAAGGTCTTCTGAATTCAACCTAATATGTTAGCACAGTTGTAGCTAAGTGATTTGATGAGACTTGTACTGGGAAATGAGTAGCATTTAACTGTGGTTCCTTCCAGAGATATGGGAAATCCCAACATTGTCACTGCTTCCACTTAAGAGTAGCTTAGCCTTGCCGTGTAAGACAGGCGCCCCTGCCCCCATGCACAGAAGACAGTTTTCCACCACCTGGGAGCCACACTTTCCAACACAGAGCTTCTCACTCTTAATGGCCATTCAACAATCAGCAGGAAGACTGAACTTAGCTCAATGAGAATATGACCAAAAATAAATTAATTAATAAATAGGGATAAAAATTGGAAAAGAATATGAACACCAATGGAGTAAAACTTCCCATACAGCTGATTCGAGAGAGAAAATCTATTTGTAAATAACAAGTCAAAACCAAGTAAGACACATCTCTGATTTTGGTTTCATTCAAAAGAATCTTTCATTCCTGGCCAACTAACTATGTGGTGCAATATGATCTACTTCTTTTTATTTACACTCTATCTATTAAAAATAATTCCTTAGTAAGGACTTGTTAATATTAAAAAGTCTAAATGTTTATAATAAATACTGTATTACAATATTTTAATATTTACAATTGGGAAAAATGTGTACTCTAGTCAGTCATCTCAGTGCTACTTCTTCAATTTCCTCTTCTACAGAATCAACTGCTTTTACTGCTGGTTTACTGTTTGCAGGTTTTAATCGGTGTCTATTTGGATTAAAACTTCTTCCTTCGCCGAAGAAAAAGTCATCATCTTCATCATGTTCTCTACCCCTCCTGCTTTTATCCCCAGGGAGAAAACTGAGAGGGTCAAAGTCTCCTTTGCTGGGAGCCAGGGAATTTGGGTCACTGCTTTTAGAGGAAGTGGTACTGCTGCCACTGGCACCAAAGAGCTGTTCCATCAGATTAGCTTTTTTCTCTTTTCTTGTAATTAAATCTACACTGTCATTACTAAGTTTCTCTAGGCTGTTTCTTTGGAAATCCAAAAGGCCACTTTTTTGGCTAAAAGGATTTGACTTTCCTGATGTTTTTGCAAATGAAGGTACATAGCTGCCAAATGTAAGCTCATTTGGAGAGGCTGGGCTTCTAATATTTCCTGGATTCTGACCATCTCCTTTGGTTAAAAGGCTGAAGTCTTGCAAATGATGCCCGTTAAACAATCTCTCTGAGGATTCAGAGAACATGTGTGTTTTGGGGCTTCTCTCTGGGGAGCGCAGTTTTGATTCCAAATCAGGCAGCAATGGCAGAGGAGGACATTTTAGATTCCGAGAATCTTGGAGTTCTCTGTTGATTTCATTCAGTTTAGCAAGTAGCATTTCTCTCTTCAGTCTTTCTTCCTCCTCTTCTTCCAGTTTATCAATATTTTGAATCTGACACATTTCCATTTGGTATCTTCCAGTTTCCAACCCTGGTTTTTCTTCTCTCTCCAGCAAAGATGTCTTTTCTTTCTGCTTTTTAGCAAGCTCTTCTTTTTCCCACTCTGTATGAAATCAAATTTTAAAAATGGGATTTTATAGCAGTCAATATTTTTAAAAAGGAAAACAACTCTCATCTTTTACAAAACAACAGTCATTACCTAATTTTGGTATTATCAGTACATTGAGGATGGATATCACAAATTTCATCTCTATACTTGACATTCTGGGATTCCAAAAGAATATACTTGATGTGTATTGCATTTAAGATTCATTTACAGAAACAATTTTGTTCTTCAATTTAGGGGTGGGGAAGAATTTCTTGGTTCTCTGCCTATGTTTTATACCTAGTATAGGTTCGTACACTGAATGGAGGGTGGTGGGATGGATGCAACAAAGACTTTTATTTTAAACTTAAAAATAAATTGAAACTCTGGATGTCATACCCTGAGAAGGACACAACATCACTTATATAATATTCTAACAGAAGAAGCATTAAGCTGAATCTAATGAAGAGAAAACTTCAGATAAACCCCAAATGAGAAACATTCCTTTTAAAAAAATGAGTCTGTATTCATCAAAAATGTTAATCTCACAAAATATTTTAAAAACGCTGTGAAACTGTTCCAGATTAAAGGAGACAGAAGAGATGAGAACTAAATGTAATTCATGATTATATCCTGAAAGGAAGAAAATGCTATAAAGGACAACACTGTGTCAACTGACAAAATTGTAATATGAACGGCAGATTAGAGAAATGTGTTGTATCCAAGTTAAATTTCCTGAAATTGAAAACTGTACTGGAATGATATAAGAGAATGTCCTTATTTTGGAGAAATACATATGGAAGTATTTTAGGGTATGGGCAGGAGGTACACAACTTACTCTTAAATAGTTCTTTGGCTATTACTGCCATTTTGCTATAATTTTGAAATTATTTCCAAAATTAAAACATTAAAATATGTAAGAATACTATAATTGATAGCTTTAGTAAATAGCATACATTCTCACTAATGTCAGAAATCATTCCATGTAGATTCCAGGAAAAAAAATCAGTCAAAAATGACAAACAGAAGTGACAGTCTTCTGTTACTTTATTCCTTTTCCTGGTACCTTCACAGAACTGACCACAGTATCTAATTTTCTGTTCTATAGTTTAACATGTGAAAGCATCTCCCTTTGTGCATTAGCCAACAGTGACGTAAATATACCTTCTATTTCAGCTGTTATATTGTTTTAAATACATACACACACACACAAATATACAAATACTAATTTAAGCAACAATTAGGTCATGATTTTATGTTCCACTGACTTTAAGGAAATAAAAAAAAAAGGATTTCTCTGTAAGCAGTTACTTTATAACTATTAAAATACATTCAAAGGACTAGAGTCTGGCATCCCTCTCACCTACACCTTTAAGACATTTCATCCAGATGGAAATGAATTTATTCCTGAACTTCATTTCTAGTATCTGAAACTATGTGAGTTGGTTCACTAAACTTCCACACTAAATGGCTGAACATGTTAAAGATTTACTTTACATGTTAAAAACAAAGAAAAATTAAAGGAATATATTCAGGACCTCACAATTCATTGATTTTAAAGCTTGGGCTAGTCTACAGATTCATGAGTCTCAAGGTCAAGCCAACAAAGAGGCTTGTCTTTCAGTTATCTCTTCAACAAGCTTTAGTTAATACACATTTTCCCCCTTATCTGAATTTTCTGAAGTCACCTGTCCTTACTCCCTAACCCCAAACAGCAACTGACTGATAGTCTTCATTGTTTTCTCTTCCCTTGGCAACTTCATTCAAATGTTTGTGACTCCTCACAGACCATCCCCCACTTCTGAATCAACCTCTTGCTCTGTATGACCAAGTCACTGTTCAGCTGAAGGCATCAGGAGAAGCTAACCCTCTCCTTCCCCAAGGATGCTGACTCATCGTTCGCTCGAACAAACTCTTTCTTACCATCCTCCAGTTCCTCAACCTCTTGTTTTACAACTTGGAGTCCTTGATCTTTAACGAACTTTTCTTCTCTTTCCACAATTGAATTTAGAAGCCCTGCTTCTCCATGCTCATCCCTCTCTTGAGATTCCAGGTCCTATTACACATTTTTTAAAAAAACGCAAGTTCACATGTAGGAAAAGGGGAAGAAATTATCTAAATATCATAGATTTATCTCCCACTAAGCATGATACCAGGCTTAAGTCAGAAATAAAAGCAAATTTAAATTAATTTCAAATTTCAATGAATAAAGCATTAAGTCACAAGTTACCATCCCTTGAAAAGCACACAAAATTATTTCTTAGTTAAAATTTTTAAAAAGCATTTCTAAGACATATCAGAACCAACATAATGGAAGCAAAGCCAACACCTTACATAAAATTCTGAAGAGACAAGTTTCAGAAGTATCCTTGCTTTGTACATTGCACAACAAAATCTGATTAATTCAGTTAACCAGAAAAGGCTATTAACCAACTATGGAGGCCAAGTGAGATGGTACTGGAACTGTAACACGGGCAGTGACAACTGTATTGAATCTTTCAAGTTTACACTATACCCAAAGCCTCCAACTAATAAATTTTATAATATTTAAGTCAAATAAAAACGTAAACAAAATTCCTTGTTTCTTATGGTCCCTTTCACGTGCATGTACGTAATTTTTTAAAATAAATGTAAAATACCTATTATTAGTAGACTTATATAGTTGAGAACTGTCCCCCAGAATGCATTCTCTCCTTCTTCCTTTTAGATACAGAATCCCTTGAGTTTTAGCAGGGCAGACAGCTGTTCAACTGGAGACTACATTTGCTAGCCTCCCTTGCAGCTAGACAGGACCAATGGGATGTGAGTGGAAGTTACATATGCAACTTCTGATAACACTTATAAAAACAAAAGCTGCTTGCCCTCCACTTCCTCATTCCTTCTCAAAGGGGGGCTGAGCCAGTTGCAACCAGACACTCTTTAAGATGGAAGAGCAATAAGAGAGAGGATGATTATCATGGAACAAAGCTGTCTACCTGGATTTCCTACTGACCTTCAGCCTATAACAAGAGAAAGAAACTTGCATCTTGCTTGAACCCACTGAATTCTGGGTCTCTTTACAATAGCAACTTAGTTTCCATAGCTCCCATTTGCTGAGGCCCTTTAAAGTGGCAGGATCAGTCTTAAGAGCTTTACAAACTTCATAAACAGTTATAAGCACAACGCTGAAGGGTAAGCCACCCCTGTTCTATAGATTAGGAAACTGAGGCTCCAAGAAGTAACAACTAAAACGTTAGAACTAGAATGTAATTAAAAAGCAGTGCTAACTCCAAGACTACACTCTTTTCACTGTATCAGGTTGCTGTTCCTCCTGTTGAACATTATAAAGACCAAGGTTTTTTATCCTTTTAAAGAATTACTTTGCTATCCTACACTTTACCTTTCTCAAAAAGACAAATTAACTTCAAAGTACAAACATAGGAAGAAACACACTTAGCAGATAGAGCTAACTTGTCTAAATTGTAAAACAAAAATGAAATAAAGAAACAAATAAAAAACTAGAGTACACACAGGAACCAAATCAGTCCATCCTTTCTGTTTTATACCACAGGAAGAGATCTCGGGGTGACTGAAAAACGTACATGGCACACAAATATAAGATCATATGAAACACACAGGATCCCTGGTATATTGGGTTTTTGGGAGCTTAAACTGTAAATACTAAAGAAAAAACCTCAGAGAAAAGGAACTTCCAGTATTCAGTGTATAAGCCCCTTTAAATGAAGGTCCAACGCAGAACCTCTGAATTCCATTCTCATTTCATTGATACAAAGTCAGATTCCACTGGAATTACTTTGCTCAGCATTCAGTTAACCTATAAAATTCTCTTACATAGGAGGCCAAAAAAATTAAATGTAGTCAAATTCTAACAAATCATTTGAAAACTACTACAATTTGCTATTAAACATAAAAGCAAGGAGGATTTTTAGTGACTATTTGGGTACATAAAGGTAAGAACTTAGAAGGCAAATTTTTCTTCTCTTCTACCTCCAACCTAGAAGGAACAATCAACCTTTCTGAAGCATCTGAAAGACGCAATGTGAACTAAGAGTCAATCCAAAGAAATTTAACAAAACGCAGATACAACAGTTGCATATTTACACAGATAGAGCACTAGATTCACTGTTGAAATTTTTAAATGTTTCACATTGCGTTTTTAGGAATAACTTCAAACCTAGAGCCTAGTATCTGATCATATTGCTAAACTCACCAAAGTAAGATGTTCAGGTTCTTCCCGTTTGTTTTCATAACACATAACTGTTTGTGGTGATAGAGGAAATGCTTCCAGCTCCAAGTCTTCACTGGTTTGTACTCCTTTTGTACACTGGTCTGTAAAATCACTCTGGCATGCAGCTATCATAAAAATTATAAGAGATTTTTTCTAATCATATTGAACAATGCTAACATATATGGAATTCAAACTGCATTATGTTCACCATCTAAATAAGATAATCCATGTTTTGTTCAGCTCCACGACTACTCACCATTACTATTATTGTTTCTAGGATTTACTGGCAATTATGTAATTTGAAGGCAATTCTGACAGGTAAATCCTATTAAGCTCTTACAAAGTTCATGTTTTTAACATTTTATAATTCACAGAAGAGAGAAGTTTATACTTGTGTTTAAAAAAAGTAAAGATATGCATAACAATACCAAAATGTTTATGAGTGAAATGAAACAAGAGCTGGGATTTACTTTAAAATACTCCAGAAAAAAAGCAGAAAACATAGATGAAATAAAATTGGTAAAATATATAACTGTTAAGGCTAAGTGATACATAAACAAAGGTTCATCATGTTATAGTCTCTAGTTTGCGGTATGCTTATATATTTTCATAAAAGTTTAAGAATTATAATAAGAAAAATTTTTGAAAATTACGTAAAGCATAATGTTAACGGCCTCAGGAGAAAAAGCTGGGAAAGTTGAAAGGATTTCTGAAAATTAACTATAAGGAAATTTAAATTTATTTCGATGAAGTTCTTTCCCCTTTGCCTTCCTTCTACTTCAGAATTAATTTATTTTATTAATAAGTAATAGCCTACAGTATGTTTTTCACCCATAATAGCTACTATACCATTTTTTCTTGGTGTAAGTTCTTTTTCTTTCTTTGGAGAAGACTTTGGAAGACGATTAGAATATATGTTTTTTATATCCAGCTCTCTCTCCTTTTCCTGAAAACAAACCCAACATAATTAACAATGCAGAGTCTCAGTTTAAAACAAAACAAAAACTCTCACCTTGTCAACTGGTATTTTCCTGACCAAACTGGAATATATGTAATTCAGCTTCCCTTTGTAACTACTAAACTATAGAAACGAGTATCCCTGAGCCATTTAGGTTAGAGTAGAGCAATGACTCTCCCTAAAAAGTCCAACATGCACTGGCAGCAAGAAATTGAGAGCAAATACCGAAAAATTCATTTTCTACCCATACCACCTGTTAGAGCTAGTATTGTCTTAAACTGTCTTCCAGGCTTAGCCATAGAGACAAAGAATTTAGTTAGCATCCTTCAAATGTGGGTTCTGAATTACCAACGAGTTAAAAATTAGCCCATTTTTTTAAACACATATGTTCTTGACTATTTTGGGACTATGGCTTTCTCTAAGAATTTGATTAACAAAACAAAAATTCCACGTAAGATAATAGATAGAACCTCAATTTTGCTAAAAATTTCAACCCATCAATGACCTCTGGATAGAATTAACATCTGCTTTAACAAAATTAAATAATTTGAATGTTTCCTCTAAACACTATGTACATGAAGGACATTATTTGAAACAATTTCTAAAATAATCAATCATGGGGTTATCTGAGGAAGAAGACTGAATTATTCAACCATGAAACATAGAAAAACTCTAGTTTCCATAATTTTCTTCCAGGATTTTATCCCTCAGTTCAGTTATATCTCTCCTATTAGTGTATTTGATGTTTCATTTTTAGCACGCGTTGTAGTGATTATACTAAAAAACCTTTTCTTTCTAAGTGCCAAAGATAATGTTAGAATTTTGTAAACTACACTGTACCAACTTACAAATATGAATGGTAACAGTGTTTTAAGTATTGAGTTCTCATCTAATATATATTATAGTGAGAAATAATGCAATTTTTAAATTTATTTTAAAAGTGCTTACTTTTAATTTGTGATATAGACGTTGTAGCTCCTTTTGAAGAACTTTATTCTCATCATGAGCCTCATATGCCTTTTTCCTTTCAGCAAGCAACTGTCGTTGGAAACTGCTAGTACTCAGCTCAAGGTTTTTCGACAGTTCCTGTGATGTATATAAACACATAAAAAATAGTACTTGAAAAAAATTCAACTGTAAAACACTGCATTTAGCATCAAAATGACATTTTTAGTGGTACTGTACAAGACATAAAAATCAGGCTGGGCTTAGTGTTCATGAACATAAACTGGGAAATAGATTTACCAACAATTTAGTAAGGTACTTAGCCTATTATTCCTTTCTTTGTTTTTCACAGATTTGTAAATAAATTCTTAAGCATTTGCCTGAAATATATAAGAGCAAAAGACAGCCAAAGGATGTGATGAGAAACAACGGCTTTTGGGAATCATTGTTTGGGTAAACAAATACCAATAAAGCTGTGTAAAATAACACAGCACTATTCAAGGTACAGAGATTACCTTGTAAAACATTTCTAGATAAAAACAAGAGCAATTTCCATGGTCTTTAAACACGTTTTGTGAAGTTTATGAAAGAATTTAGGGCAAAATATTTTCTTTGAGGTGACATCAGCAGCATGGCAGTGTGAGTCATTTCTTTTTTCTCTCTCCTTTGATTTACAACTAATCAGACATCTATAACCAAACAAAAGCACCTCTGCACAGCACACCAGGACATCTGAGAGATCCATCCATCTGTGCACCCAAAGTGGGTGGACTGGAACTCAGAGGAGGCTGCAAAGCCAGGGGAGTGGTGGTGATAGAGGCAGGGGCCATGGGCCAGCATGACCTTTCTGGCAGAGGAGGTGGAGGGGGAAGGTAGTGAGTGAGGGTCTGCCGGGCATGCACGCTGCAGCTAGCATTGCTCAAAGAGAGACCACAACGACTGGAGGAGGAGAAAGAAAGGGATGAAGACAGACAATGCGTTTCCTGCTGTCTGCCCTGGGATTCTGGCAAGAGATCCACCCACAGACCTCTCAGACTCCCCTACTGGAGGACCCCCTACCAGGCCATGGGCACACCCAAAGCCCCAAGTCCTAAGCACATACCTCCCCCAACTCTGCTGCCACCCATGTTTTTCTCTCCACCTCCATTTTTTTATGTACATGCTCCTAACCTCAGCAGCAAATCAGCTCTCATTAGAGAAACCAAAAACTCACGGTATTGTGCCACCTTCTGAAAAACAAAAGAAAGGCTCCTAATTACCAACCTGTTGAACTGTTATAATCAAAGTAAACAAAGCCTTACCTAAAGAAGGAAGGTGTTCGCTACTTAAAACACAGCAGCAGAGACACTTTTCATCAAACACTACAAAAAATTATAGTACAGTATTACAAAAAGAAAAGGACAATTTTCCAGCAGCCAAACCCAAAGACATGGAATATCACAAACTAACTGATAAAGAACTCAAAATAGCTGTTATGAAGAATGAGCTACAACAAAACTAAGAAAAGCAATACAATGATGTCAGAAGTAAAATTAATGAATAGAAGAACTTTACCAAAGAGACTGAAATTCTAAAAAAGAGCCAAATAAAAATTCTGGAGCCAAAGAACTCAATAAATGAGATGAAAAATGTATTAGGAAGCAATGGAAAGAGAGCAGATCAGATGGAAGAGAGGACAAGCAAGCTCGAGAATAAGAATTTAGAAATGATTCAGGCAGAAGAGGAGAGAGAAAAAAATTTTTTTTCTGGTGAGGAACATTGGCCCTGAACTAACATCTCTTGCCAATCTTCATTTTTTTATGCTTGAGGAAGACTGTCCCTGAGCTAACATCTGTGCCAATCCTCCTCTACTTTGTACGTGGGATGCTGCCACCGCATGGCTTGATGAGCAGTCTGCAGTTCCATGCCCAGGATCTGAACCTGTGAATCCTGGGCCACTGAAGTGGAGTGCGTGAATGTAACCACTACACCACCAGGCCAGCCCCAAGAACTAAAATTTTTAAAAAGTGAAGAAACCCTACAAGAACTATCAGATTCCATTAGAAGAGCCAATATAAGATTAATGGGTATAACAGCAGAAAAAGCAAGGGGGAAGAGAGCAGAGAACTTATTTAGAGAAATAACAGCTGAGAAGTTCCCAAATCTGAAGAAACTGGATATACAAGTCCAAAAAGCTAACAGAACACCTTACTATCTCAAGCAAAAAGATATTCTCAAACACACATTATATTAAAACTATCAAAGAATTGTAAAGGCAACCAGAGAAAAAGAGACTGTAACATACGAAGAAACCTCCACTAGGCTATCAGAAGATTTCTTAGCAGAAACTCTACAGGCCAGCAGAGAGTGGAATGACATGTTCAAAGTATGGAAAGATAAAAATTGCCAGCCAAGAACACTCTATTCAGCAAAGTTATCCTTCATATCTGAAGGAAAAATAAAGGCTTTCCTAGACAAACAAAAGCTAAAGGAGTTCACCGCCACCAGATGTGCCTTACAAGAAATTTGAAAGGAGCTGTTCAAGCTGAAATGAAAAGACGAAAGGACACAAAACTCTGATTAGGGTGAAAGACAGAACTAGAAATCTGTAACTCTTTTTTAGAATAATATATTAAATGGTTATAGCATAAAGGTTAAAGGAAAAGAGCAGTAAAAATAACAATAAAGAGCACTAAAAGTAAGTAGTATAGTTACTACAACTTGGTAACAAAATCACAGCAGGAAAACAGAGAATTTCTGACAACAAAAAATGTAAAATAGGTTAGAGTAAAACAATGGGACTTTTATAAGTTGATGAAGATAAATTGCTTTCAGCCGTAAAAGGACTACTACATTGATGAGATGCTGTACGTAAACCTCACGGTAACCGCAAAGCAAAAATCTAAAGCAGAGACATAAAACATAAAAAAAGGGGAGACTGAGCAAATCACCATGGAAAACCACCCACTGACAAAGGCAGACAGAAACAGAAGGGAAAAGAAACAACGGAGAGAAAAAATAACCAGAAGGCAAAAGATAAAATGCCAGCAATAAATCCTTACATATCAATAATCACCCTAAATCTAAATGAATTGAACTCACCAATCAAAAGGCACAGAGTGGCTGAATAGATTAAAAAAACAAGAACCAACTATAAGCTCCCTACAGAAAATTCATTTCAGCTCTAAAAGCACACAGAGGCTCAAAGTGAAAGGATGGAAGATGATATTCCAAGCAAATGGAAACCAAAAGAAGGCAGGCATAGCTATTCTTATATCATACAAAACAGACTTCAAGCCAAAAAAGGTAATAAGACAAAGAAAATCATAAGACAATGATAAAGAGGTCAATACATCAAGAAGACATAACAATTGTAAATATATACGCTCCCAACACCTGAGCACCAAAGTATATTAAGCAAATACTGACAGATCCTAGGGGAGAAACAGATAACACAATAATATTAGGGGACTTTAATACCCCACTACCGGAAATACATAGATTTTCTTGGTAGGAAATCAACAAGGAAAGAGTGGAACTGAACCACACTTTAGAACATGGACTTAAAATACATACACAGAACACTCCATCCAACAGCAGCAGAATACACATTCTCCTCAAGTGCACATGGAACATTATTCAGGATAGATCATATGATTGGCCATGAAACAAATCTTAGGAAATTTAAGAAGAATGAAATCATACCAACTATCTCTTCTGACCACAGTGGCATGAAACTAGAAAGTAACAACAAGAGGGAAATGAAAATATCTACAAATAAGTGGAAACTAAACAACACACTTCTAAACAACCATTGAGTCAAAAAAGAAATCAAAAGAGAAATAATAAATTATCTCAGAACAAGTAAAAATGGAGATACAACATATGAAATCTTGTAGAATGCAGCAAAAGCAGTTCTGAGAGGAAAGTTTACCACAATAAATACATATATTAAAAAATTAGAAACATCTCAAATAAACAACCTAACTTTACACCTCAAGGAACTAGAAAAATAAGAACATATTAAGCACAAAGTTAGCAAAAGGAAGGAAAAAAATAAAGATCAGAGTGGAAATAAATGAAATAACAACCAAAAAAAACAAGAGAAAGAATCAATGAAACTAAGAGCTGGTTCTTTCAAAAGATAAACAAAATTGACAAACCTTAGGCTAGACTAAGAAAAAAAGAGAGAAGACTCAAATAAATAAACTTAGGAAGGAAAGAGGAGACATTACAACTGACAGTACAGAAATACATAGAATCATAGGATGCTACTACGAACAATTATAAGCCAACAAATGACATAACCTAGAAGAAATGGACACATTTCTAGAAACACACAACCTCCCAAGCCTGAATCAGAAAGAAACAGAAAATCTGAACAGACCAATAACGAGTAAAGAGATTGAAGCAGTAGTCAAAAAAACCCCAACACAGAAAACTTCGGGACCAGGCAGCTTCACTGGAGAATTAGCACCAATCTTCCCAAAACATCAAGGAGGAGGGAATCCTTCCAAACTCATTCTGTGGAGCCAGCATTACCTTGAAACCAAACCAGAGAAGGACACCACAAGAAAACAAAACTATAAACCAATATCCCTGATGAATACAGATGCAAAACTTCTCAAGAAAGTATTAGCAAACTGAATTCAAGAAAAGATTAAAAAGGATTATACAACATGGCCAAGTGGGACTTACCCCTGGGATGCAAGGATGGTTCAACATATGCAAATCAATAAATGTAATACATCACATTAATAAAATGAAAGAGAAAAATCATATGATCATCTCAACAAATACAGAAAAAGCATTTGACAAAATACAATATCTTTTTCTGATAAAAACCTTTAATAGTATTAAAGGAACATATCTCAACATAATAAAGGCCCTATACAACAAACCCACAGCTAACATTATACTCAATGGAGAAAACTTGAAAACCTTTCCTCTAAGACGAGAACAAGGCAAGGATATGCACTCTCACTATTCCTATTCAATATAGTACTGGAGGTCCTAGCTAGAGAAATTAGGCAAGACAGAAAAATAAAAGGATCCAAAATGGAAAGGGAGAAGTAAAACTGTCACTATTTGTTTAACTACTATATGCCTTGGAGAAGGTCTTTTTACACTGATATAGTCAGGAGAGCTATTGGATTCTTTCA